CATCCCCTGCCAGCTTAGTAGAAGCTGCCGAAATGAAACCACTGCCCACTCAACATGCTCAAGGATATATTTGCTTGCCCATCACATTGTTTTGTTGAGATATCTTTGGAACTGGAATTGAAAAAAAAAAATTAATTGTTAGCTAAGCTTCCTCTCAGCCATTTCTTTGAATTTTTGGTGTTGCGAAAACTAAGTACATCGAAAGAAGTAGTAAGTACTAAAATTTTTAAAAACTTTTTCTTTATTACTTTGCTTTTATCAATTGCTTATTGCTTTTATCAATTACTTTTCCTCCGATGTTGATCCTTTATCTTCAGCAGCTAAGACTTTCTCCTCAGGCGTTCCTTTTTCTTCAGGAATTCCTTCACTGTCATCATCACCGCTTTTTTCGTCTCCTTTTGTTTTCGTTTCACTGCCCGTATCTTTATCACCGTTGTTTGTCTTGCCATAATCTTTCATATCAGCCAAAACCAGGGGCTGCAATTTCAAATCGTTGATCAGGGTTCCCTTATTTTTGATAAAAACATTCTTTCAATGAAATTAAGTGGAGCTTTATTGCATTTTCCTTCATGAGCTTACCAGCAACGCAACCGTCGTGCTCAGAAGGTCCAGTTGCAGTGCTAAATAGGAATGTGTAGGACTTAATGGACCGAAACATTCCTATTCATTTAATTTTTTAATAATTTTATATTTATCATTATTAATACCTTTATAATTTTGTCGATAAGGTGGTAGTAGGTGGCTAGTAAAGATCCTATTTGCGTAAAGGATTTTTTTAAGTTACATGAGGAAAGAAGTCGGCCAAAAGAAGAGAGAGGAGACGTCTAAAGGTACGCCGTGAAAGAAGAGGACTAGTGAAAGAAAAGAGAAGACGCTTTTTGCGCAGCAGTTCACGATGCCCAGCAGCGTGCAACACTTGAAGCTAGTGAAGTTTTGCTTACAGATATCCTATTTACTCTTCCTTTGATTTCGCGCATTTCGTGCATATAACGTGTCCTTTCCTCCATTAAAAGTGTCCTTTCAAAAGCATTTTTTGAAATTGTCGGATCTGATAGTTCTACAACCTGAAAATGTATTCATCAGCATCAATATTAGTTTTAATAATTAATAAACAAGCTAACAGTTTCTAACACCAATAATAGATAACCATAAAAGAAATTTTGCTTCAAAAATCAAACCAACATATATTTCAGGAACGGATTCTAATTTCTGCGCTGTAATACAAATTTTACCAGAATGCTTGCATCAATCCTGAGCTGATAAACGTATCTTTGAAGATCAGCTTGTAACTTCGTATTGTTATCCATTTCCTGCGCAATTGCTATCACTCGAAGTTTGCATCCTCGCCAGACCTTATAAATTGACCAAGTTAGTTTAGGTAACAATTGCTGCGGTGCTTTAATTAGCGTTATAACATCCAAGAAGCCACGTGAAACGGGATAGGTGGGAGAAGAATGAAAGGGCGATTTGCATATTTGTGCTATGCAACCTAGGCTGGAACGCATCTGGCTAGCCCGTACAAACATGCGTTTTTGCTGAGCTTTTTACTCAGGTTCCATCCACAGTCGAGTGCATTTTGCAGCGAATGACCGCCCTCATCCTCCCTGACAACATCCATTTCAATTCTTCACTGAAAAAGTGAAAATGTTACAAGAGCGGTCGTTCGTCAAGAAATCCAAATATGTAAATGAACTGGATTTTGGCAGAGGATGAGGGCGGTCGTTCGCTGAAAAATGCACTCGTTTCTGAGTTCATGGTAAAGTTGAGTATTTTTCATACCCACCTGCAGGGAATTTCATTTCCAAGCGGAGGTAAGACCGCACCTAAAAGTAGAATATCCCAACGAATTTTCAGCCTCACACATTATCCGGTAAGCGAAATAGCCACTTCGCTACAAATCTCTTGAAGTGCTCTAATTCGTGGTGCAAGTGCAAATCGAAACTCATTTTAGGTACACGACTTCCCATATGGACGACAAATGTTTTTACAAAATTTCAGCCATTTTTTCTGGCTAGTTTTCGAGTTAGCACAGTTCCAGATGCAAATTTTGACGTGAACGTGCGCGATGCACAAACGTGTGCAGCGGCTGAATTTGAAACCTTTAACTCATGCAGGCACATAGAATATCCCTTCACAGTTTCAGCTTTCTATCTTCTCTGTTCCCAAAATTGTTTCTCGCTAAAAAAATCTGCATGTTTTTTTCGCGAGTCCGTACGCGGGCTCTAAGCACGTGTAGGAGATCTTAAAATAGGAGGGTGACGCACGGGGAGGGAATATGTCCCCAAAATTTCAGCCTCCCAGTTTTCATGGTTGCTGAATTGAAAGCGGGTGACAAAGTTCACTTGCTTCCGAACACACACACACACAAACGACCTCCCGACAGTATGCGTTTTTGCTTGCTGTAGCAGCGCTATAGCGCTACACAGCAAATATACATAAAAACGCAGATTGTGACAAGTGTGTGTGTCCTCATGTGCGTGTGTGTGTGCGCGTCTTGTTGGGACAACCAAACAAGCTTTGATGCTGAAATTTTGCCAGCAAGTTTCCTGGCCAAGCGCTATCACAAAATTGTGGTATCAATTTTCACGCACAGTGTGTTTTCC